AATTATGAAACTATGTTATGGAGTGACTCGTGCAGCCAGCTATGGCTGCAAAGTTTGGTCGTACGTGTTTACGCGCGCGTGTATATCATTTATTGTTACATTTTTAATCACGGCGCCTATGATCACCGTCGTTACGTGCTTTTTAGAGCTTAATTTTGGTGATTTTTTGGCTCAAAACGTTTTGGTTTAGCCACGTTTGTTCGTCTGTTGCAGTACACAGAGTTAGACCTGATAACGTGAATCTCAATTTGCCTCGTGTCTGTTATTGTGCGACTCGTCGCATCCCGATGGGATTTCTTTTCACGCAGCGTTGATGGCACGCCGCTATCCGCCTGGAAGACTTTTGCTGTGTGTGTGTTTTTATTTCCCTGGATTTTTTCTGTTGCACGTAGTCACTTTAAGATGTCTCCTTGTTCGTGTGTGTATTTTTTGTTGTTGTTGAATCAAGAGCCGCATGGCCCACAGGGCTATACCTCCTAAATGAACTGAACTGAACATCACGGCTCGATAATTCAGCGTGGAGGTAGTTAATGATTGACGGGAGCGTCCTGTCAGCGGGAGCGAACGATTTCTCAACGCTACCTTGACTCACAAAAACAGCGGCCTGTCATCTGTGTCAAGGGGCAATGACACAATTCAAACTGTGGGTCTCTGCTGTGTGAGTCTGTGGGTCTCTGTTGTGTGAGTCTGTGGGTCTCTCTGTGTTAGTCTGTGGGTCTCTCTGTGTGAGTCTGTGGGTCTCTGTATGTAAGTCTATGGGTTTCTCTGTGTGAGTCTATGGGTCTCTGTGTAAGTCTATGGGTCTCTCTGTGTAAGTCTATGGGTCTCTCTGCGTGTCTGTGGGTCTCTGTGTAAGTCTATGGGTCTCTCTGTGTGAGTCTGTTGGTCTCTGTGTAAGTATGTGGGTCTCTGTGTAAGTCTGTGGGTCTCTCTGTGTAAGTCTATGGGTCTCTCTGTGTAAGTCTATGGGTCTCTCTGTGTGAGTCTGTGGGTCTCTGTGTAAGTATGTGGGTCTCTGTGTAAGTCTGTGGGTCTCTCTGTGTGTCTGTGGGTCTCTCTGTGTAAGTCTATGGGTCTCTCTGTGTGTCTGTGGGTCTATGTGTGAGTCTGTGGGTCTCTGTGTGAGTATGTGGGTCTCTGTGTGAGTCTGTGGGTCTCTGTGTGAATCTGTGGGTCTCTGTGTGAGTCTGTGGGTCTCTGTGTGAGTCTGTGGGTCTCTGTGTGAGTCTGTGGGTCTCTGCTGTGTGAGTCTGTGGGTCTATGTGTGAGTCTGTGGGTCTCTCTGTGTGGGTCTATGGGTCTCTGTGTAAGTCTGTGGGTCTCTCTGTGTAAGTCTATGGATCTCTCTGTGTGAGTCTATGGGACTCTCTGTGTGTGTCTATGGGTCTCCGAGTGCATGGTCTTACTGGCGAAACGTCGTACTCCGATTGTACGCGTTGTGGATTTGCTCTCCAACACAGCACCCGGTAACGATTTGGCACGTTCTGTTTACGTTAAAAACCCCTTACTAAAGTGTCGGGTGGTCGCGGGTTTAACGACACAACATTTATATACTCACGTGATCTCACCCAAAATTAAGCTGATTACGGAGAATATTGATCGGTTTACCGGTTCACAACGAGCCATCTTCGCCAGGGAAAAAGTTGTCAATAAATCGAATTCGTAATCTGGTGTGATTTTTGTTGTTGTTTTTTAAACAATGTTGTTATATCTACGGTCAGACAACACTAACAACTTGGAACAGCGTCAAACCCACACGTATCCTCGCACTTACAGGCACATTGGGTTTGCAGGTCCAGACGGCGTACAGCCGATTCTCCGCTTGTGATGGCACTTTGTAAGGATGAACGCTGAGATTGAGGAGGGCATGGGGTGGGCCCATGAGGTCTGAATTGGTCTGTGATAAGTTAGGCGCACTTATAAGGGGGTTAAACAGGTTTTTACTAAGCTACTACTATGCATTATATAATACTACTATGTATTATATAATACTACTATACATTATACACTACACTACTACAATACATTATACACTACTACTATACACTATACACTACTATACATTATAAACGACACTACTACTATACATTATACACTACACTACTACTATACACTACACTACTACTATACACTATACACTACGCTACTACTATACACTATACACTACAAGACATTTTACACTATACACTACTACTATATATTATACACTATACACTACTACTATACATTTTACACTATACACTACTACTATACATTATACACTATACACTACTACTATACATTAAACACTATACACTACTACTATACACCACTACTATACATGATACACTACACTATTACTATAAACTACTATTATACATTATACACTACACCACTGCTATACACTACTACTATACACTATACACTACACTACTATACACGACACTATACATTATATACTACATTACTACTATACACTACTATACATTATACACTACATTACTACTATACGCTACTACTATACATTATACACTACACTACTACTATACACTACTACTATACATTATACACTACTACTATACAATATACACTGCACTACTACTATACGCTACTACTACACATTATACACTACACTACTACTAAACATTATACACTATACACTACTACTATACACCACGACTATACATGATACACTACACTACTACTATACACTCCTACTAAACATTATATACTACGACTATACATTATACACTACACACTACTATACATTATACACTATATACTACTAATATACATTATACACTATACACTACTACTATACACTACTATACATTATACACTATACACTACTACTATACACGATACACTACACTACTACTATACATTATACACTATACTACTACTATACACTATACACTACACTACTACTATACACTACTACTATACATTATACACTACACTACTACTATACATTATACACTACACCACTACTATACACTACTACTATAGATTATACACTACACTACTACTATACATTATACACTACACTACTACTATACACTATACACTACACTACTACTATACACTACACTACTATACACTATACACTTTACTACTACTATACACTATACACCACAACTATACATTATACACTACACTACTACTATACAATATACACTACACAACTACTATACACTACTACTATACATTATACACTACTGCTATACATTATACACTACTACTATACATTGTACACTACACCACTACTATACACTACTACCATACATTATACACTACACTACTACTATACATTATACACTACACTACTACTATACATTATACACTACACTACTACTATACATTATACACTACACTACTACTATACATTATAACTAATACTATACATTATACACTACTAAGGTACATTATAAACTATACACTACTACTATACATTGTACACTATACATTATACACTATACACTACACTACTACTATACACTACACTACTACTATACATTATACACTACACTACTACTATACATTATACACTGCACTACTACTATACACTACTACTATACATTATACACTACACTACTACTATACCCTACTACTATACACTAGATACTACCATACCTGTCATCCCACACGGTTTACACGTATTATTATTATTATTGTGCAGGGAAATTGAGTAAAATAAATAATAGATTCGAAGCCTTCGTGGCTGCAGGAATCACTCGTAGGTTCTCGGTAAAGTTTAGTAGAATTAAATTAAATAATAATAAAAAACGACGTTTCCAGTGCAACACAAGCAACCACCATCAGGGACAAATGAATGAGAAATCAACCATAGTAAACTTTGATTCACGTTCTTCCAAAGATTGCTACATTTGAGAGAGAGACAAAACGCAGACACGGAGACACACAGAGAGACACACAGACACAGAGAGACACAGAGAGAGACACAGAAAGACAACGTCTCTGTGTCGAGGCCTTAAATAGAGAGGGAGGGGGGGGGCTATGTGAGTGTATGGGTCTCCGTGTGATGAGTCTATGGGTCTCTGTGTGGTGAGTCTATGGGTCTCTGTGTGATGAGTCTATGGATCTCTGTGTGATGAGTCTATGGGTCTCTGTGTGGTGAGTCTATGGGTCTCTGTGTGGTGAGTCTATGGGTCTCTGTGTGGTTAGTCAATGGGTCTCTGTGTGAGTCTGTGGATCTCTGTGTGCTGAGTCTATGGGTCTCTGTGTGGTGAGTCTATGGGTCTCTGTGTGAGTTTGTGGATCTCTGTGTGCTGAGTCTATGGGTCTCTGTGTGCTGAGTCTATGGGTCTCTGTGTGAGTCTATGGGTCTCTGTGTGAGTCTATGGGTCTCTGTGTGCTGAGTCTATGGGTCTCTCTGTGTGAGTCTATGGGTCTCTGTGTGAGTCTATCGGTCTCTGTGTGATGAGTCTATGGGTCTCTGTGTGATGAGGCTATGGGTCTCTGTGTGATGAGTCCATGGGTCTCTGTGTGATGAGTCTATGGGTCTCTGTGTGGTGAGTCTATGGGTCTCTGTGTGGTGAGTCTGTGGGTCTCTGTGTGATGAGTCTATGGGCCTCTGTGTGCTGAGTCTATGGGTCTCTGTGTGAGTCTATGGATCTCTGTGTGAGTCTATGGGTCTCTGTGTGCTGAGTCTATGGGTCTCTCTGTTTGAGTCTATGGGTCTCTGTGTGAGTCTGTGGGTCTCTGTGTGCTGAATCTATGGGTCTCTGTGTGCTGAGTCTATGGTCTCTGTGTGAGTCTATGGGTCTCTGTTTGCTGAGTCTATGGGTCTCTGTGTGAGTCTATGGGTCTCTACGTGAGTCTATGTGTCTCTGTGTGATGAGTCTGTGGGTCTCTATGTGATGAGTCTATGGGTCTCTGTGTGAGTCTATGGGTCTCTGTGTGAGTCTATGGGTCTCTATGTGTGAGTCTATGGGTCTCTATGTGTGAGTCTATGGGTCTATGTGTGATGGTCTCCCCGCCGCACGGCGCTTTAAACTCACCTGAGCAGCGCTTTGGGTGACAGCGACGAGTCCATGGAGGTGGTGGTGGTTGTTGTTGTTGTTGGTTGTTGTTGTTGGTGGTGGTGGTTGTTGTTGTTGGTGGTCGAGAGTTGAGCCGAGCGACACACACAGAGAGAGAAAGGCCGCTCCGTGTACGAGGGGTGAGTTGGGTTGGGGGTGGGGGGGGGTGAAGGAGGGGGCCGGTCCACCCCCTAACAAACAACAACAACAACACAACAACAACACAACAACAACACAACAACAGCACCAGCACCACCATTCATCAAGGGGTCTCTCGCTCTGCGTGTGCCGAGATTTTGATGCGTTCTGCCCCGCGGGCTAGGAAGGTTGTCCCTGGGGGAGGGCTCTGGGGGGGGTGGCCTGGGCGAGTGCGATGGAGGGAGGGGGATAGGTGGAGGGGGGAGGGGGGGAGGGGGGGGAGGGAGGGGGGGTAGGTGGAGGGAGGGGGAAGGGGGTAGGTGGAGGGAGGGAGGGGGGTGGGAGGGAGGAGGGGGGGAAGGGGGGGAGGGAGGGAGGGAGGGAGGAAGGAGGGAGGAGGGGGGTAGTTGGAGGAGGGAGGGAGGAGGAGGGAGGGGGATGGGAGGGGAGGGAGGGAGGAGGGAGGGAGGAGGGGGGTAGTTGGAGGAGGAGGGAGGGGGAGGGAGGGAGGGTGGAGGGGGAGGGAGGGAGGGTGGAGGGGGGAGGGAGGGGGAGGGGGGGAGGGAGGGGGAGGGGGGAGGGAGGGGGAGGAGGGAGGGGGGGGAGGAGGGAGGGAGGGAGGAGGGAGGGGCGTGGGGGTGGAGATGATCGCGGGCGATTCGCCACCACCGCCACCACCGCCGGGTTTGTGAGCCTCCTCTCAGTGGCGTCCACTCCAATTGGTGGTGGAGGGGTGGGGGGAGGGGTGTGGGGGGGGGTGAGGGTGGGGATGAGGGTGGGGGAGTGTGGGGGGGGGGTGGAGTGTGGGGGGGTGGGTGAGGGTGGGGGTGTGGGGGGAGGGGTGTGGGGGGGGAGTCCAAAGTTCATCTTCCGGAAGATGGTGGTGCTCAACTCAGCTTAATAACCAGGCTACAGTCTACATTATAGACTGTCAGTACACTCAGCTTAATAACCAGGCTACAGTCTACATTATAGACTGTCAGTACACTCACTCAGGTTAATAACCAGGCTACAGTCTACATTATAGACTGTCAGTACACTCAGCTTAATAACCAGGCTACAGTCTACATTATAGACTGTCAGTACACTCACCCAGCTTAATAACCATTACTACAGTCTACATTATAGACTGCCAGTACACTCACTAAACTTAATAACCAGGCTACAGTCTACATTATAGACTGTCAGTACACTCACCATACTTAATAACCAGGCTACAGTCTACATTATAGACTGCCAGTACACTCACTAAACTTAATAACCAGGCTACAGTCTACATTATAGACTGCCAGTACACTCACTAAACTTAATAACCAGGCTACAGTCTACATTATAGACTGTCAGTACACCCAGCTTAATAACCAGGCTACAGTCTACATTATAGACTGCCAGTACACTCACTAAACTTAATAACCATTACTACAGTCTACATTATAGACTGTCAGTACACTCAGCTTAATAACCAGGCTACAGTCTACATTATAGACTGTCAATACACTCAGCTTAATAACCAGGCTACAGTCTACATTATAGACTGCCAGTACACTCACTAAACTTAATAACCAGGCTACAGTCTACATTATAGACTGTCAGTACACTCACTCAGGTTAATAACCAGGCTACAGTCTACATTATAGACTGTCAGTACACTCAGCTTAATAACCAGACTACAGTCTACATTATAGACTGTCAGTACACTCAGCTTAATAACCAGGCTACAGTCTACATTATAGACTGTCAGTACACCCAGCTTAATAACCATTACTACAGTCTACATTATAGACTGTCAGTACACTCAGCTTAATAACCAGGCTACAGTCTACATTATAGACTGTCAGTACACTCAGCTTAATAACCAGGCTACAGTCTACATTATAGACTGTCAGTACACCCACTCAGCTTAATAACCAGACTACAGTCTACATTATAGACTGTCAGTACACTCAGCTTAATAACCAGGCTACAGTCTACATTATAGACTGTCAGTACACTCAGCTTAATAACCATTACTACAGTCTACATTATAGACTGTCAGTACACTCAGCTTAATAACCAGGCTACAGTCTACGTTATAGACTGTCAGTACACTCACCCAGTTTAATAACCATTACTACAGTCTACATTATAGACTGTCAGTACACTCAGCTTAATAACCAGGCTACAGTCTACATTATAGACTGTCAGTACACTCAGCTTAATAACCATTACTACAGTCTACATTATAGACTGTCAGTACACTCAGCTTAATAACCAGGCTACAGTCTACATTATAGACTGTCAGTACACTCAGCTTAATAACCAGGCTAAAGTCTACATTAGTGGTTTTTGTTTTTAGTTTCTTATTATTTTATTTGTAATCTCTTTTTTAGTTTTTATTCACTTTATTTTTTATTTTTCTATCTACGTGACTTTACCGAAAGAACCAAAGAATACCAAGATTGTGGTGCTATTTGCGGAAACATGTCTACCGTCTTCCGGAAGACGTTCACCTGCCCTTAACATGTATTCCAGAAGCGGTAGACGCCATTTATATTGATTGGTAGAACATCTACCCCTTCCGGAAGAAGCTCACCTGGCTATGAGATGTTGACTACCTCACCTGGTACACAGGAGGTCGTGGGTTCCACCACCATCATCATCACGGTGGCTAAGAGATGTTAACTACCTCGCCTGGTACACAGGAGGTCGTGGGTTCCACCATCATCATCACGGTGGCTAGGAGATGTTGACTACCTCGCCTGGTACACAGGAGGTCGTGGGTTCCACCACCATCATCATCACGGTAGCTATGAGATGTTGACTACCTCGCCTGGTACACAGGAGGTCGTGGGTTCCACCACCACCATCATCATCACGGTGGCTATGAGATGTTGACTAACTCGCCTGGTATGCAGGAGGTCGTGGGTTCCACCAAAATCATCATCACGTTGGCTATGAGATGTTGACTACCTCGCGTGGTACACAGGAGGTCGTGGGTTCCACCACCATCATCACGGTGGCTAAGAGATGTTGACTACTTCGCCTGGTACGCAGGAGGTCGTGGGTTCCACCACCATCATCATCACGGTGGCTATGAGATGTTGACTACCTCGCCTGGTACACAGGAGGTCGTGGGTTCCACCACCATCATCATCACGGTGGCTATGAGATATTGAGTACCTCGCCTGGTACACAGGAGGTCGTGGGTTCCACCACCACCACCATCATCATCACGGTGGCTATGAGATGTTGACTACCTCGCCTGGTACACATGAGGTCGTGGGTTCCACCACCATCATCATCACGGTGGCTAAGAGATGTTGACTACCTCGCCTGGTACGCAGGAGGTCGTGGGTTCCACCACCATCATCATCATCACGGTGGCTATGAGATGTTGACTACCTCGCCTGGTACACATGAGGTCGTGGATTCCACCACCATCATCATCACGGTGGCTATGAGATGTTGACTACCTCTCCTGGTACACAGCAGGTCGTGGGTTCCACCATCATCATCACGGTGGCTAGGAGATGTTGACTACCTCGCCTGGTACACAGGAGGTCGTGGGTTCCACCACCATCATCATCACGGTAGCTATGAGATGTTGACTACCTCGCCTGGTACACAGGAGGTCTTGGGTTCGATCCCGACCCTGACGACTCCTGCTGCTGCTGTAGATTTGGAGTCTGCGTCTCTCTCATCATCATCATCATCACGGTGGCTATGAGATGTTGACTACCTCGCCTGGCATGCAGGAGGTCGTGGGTTCGATCCTGACCCTGACGACGTCTGCTGCTGCTGCTGTATATTTGGAGTCTGCGTCTCTCTCATCATCATCATCATCATCACGGTGGCTAGGAGATGTTAACTACCTCGCCTGGTGCGCAGGAGGTCATGGGTTCGATCCCGACCCTGACGACGCCTGCTGCTGCTGCTGTAGATTTGGAGTCTGCGTCTCTCTCCCCCTGGTGGTCACTGCGTGGATTTGTCTCTGGATCCACCGGTTTTTCCCCTCCACGTTTAGAATCAACGTCACCACGCGTTCAGAGTGTTGAGCTGCTGCTACACATTTCCACGTGGTGATGATGATGATTGTATCAGCCACGTGATGATGATAGTATCAGCCACGTGGTGATGATGGTATCAGCCACGTAGTGATGATGATGATGGTATCAGCCACGTGGTGATGATGATGATGGTATCAGCCACGTGGTGATGATGATGATGGTGTAGAGGTGTTAACTACGCGCTGTTGCGTAACCTGCATTGCCACCAGGGCAGTGCAGCATTACCCCTGGGTACAACGGTTGTGGTCAGTCGAGGTGAAACGGATCGTAGCCAGGGTTTGGTACGAACCAATCAGACTGTTCCACGTGGGAATGTGTGATTGGTTCTACCTGGCCACGAGGGAGTATAAGACGGGTGACCCAACGGATCTCGGGGAGTTCTCTCCCTACACGAAGACAGAAGACTGGGCTGGAGCCTAGCTAGGACCCTGGACCAGCCTCCCAGCCCTTCTAAGGGCTAATGCTCGGCATACCCAGTGGTCAGGACCCACCGGGCCAGCGGTAGACGTGTGAGTCCCGCCAAGTCCGTCAGGCTGTACCTCCCTCGGGTATCGGGTGAGGGGACCGTATATCCCTTTGTGTGTGTTAAGCATTGTATAAGGAAATAATACAATAAACAGAGTATGCCTCCTAAGAAGTCTGCTCGTCCTTACAACACTACAACTGGTGTCAGCCACGTGGTGATGATGATGATGGTATCAGCCACGTGGTGATGATGATGATGGTATCAGCGACGTGGTGATGATGATGATGGTATCAGCCACGTGGTGATGATGATGATGGTATCAGCCAAGTGGTGATGATGATGATATCAGCCACGTGGTGATAATGATGATGGTATCAGCCACGTGGTGATGATGATTATGATGGTATCAGCCACGTGGTCGTGCTGTTATCATTTGCGATGGTCCAGGTCGCCTTCTGACAAAGATCCACAGGGGCTCAGTGGGGCCTTCCCTGGTAAGATAAAAAAAAATAGCTTAGCTTTAGTCTGTGGTTTTCTACGTATCTCTCTGGGTCTCTGTGGGTGTTGATGCATCTGCAATTTCCACATTATGATGATGATGGTATCAGACACTCGGTGGAGCAGCTCAGATGGGACATTTGTTTCAGCTTAAAGTCACCGCTCGATTAGATTGTCCCCTCTAATCTTCTCAGCTCCAAAGGCGAAACGAACTCAGAGCAGCCGTGGAACTCCAGAGACCCAGACCCATTGAAGGAACGACCTCTATAGAGAAACCCCTATAGACACCCATAGGCATGCAGACTCAAGACTCGCGCAGAGACCCATAGACTCGCACAGAGACCCATAGACTCACGCAGAGACCCATACTCATATAGAGACCCATAGACTCACGCAGAGACCCATAGACTCATATAGAGACCCACAGACTCACACAGAAACCCATATACTCACGCAAAGACCCATAGACGCATGCAGAGACCCATAGACTCATATAGAGACCCATAGACTCACACAGAGACCCATAGACTCACACAGAGACCCATAGACTCATGCAGAGACCCATAGACGCGCGCAGAGACCCATAGACTCGCGCAGAGACCCATAGACTCGCGCAGAGACCCATAGACTCGCGCAGAGACCCATAGACTCATATAGAGACCCAGACTCGCACAGACCCATAGACTCATATAGAGACGCAGACTCACACAGAACTGTAGACTCACATAGAGACCCATAGACTCGTACAGGAACCCATAGACTCACAAAGACCCATAGACTCACGCAGAGACCAACGCAGAGACCCACAGACTCGCACACAGACACCCACAGACTCGCATTGCAAACGAAGCGTTTAATTAGTGCAAATGTTTATTCATGGCGAAACTGATTGCAACCGACCGATTTGACATTGCACAGCAAAGAATGGCATGGCACTTCAAGAACAACCACCTACCCATCCCGTGTGGAGTGGAGGTGTCCTGTACGACACACACACACAACACACCTCTACACATTCAAGCGATGTAACCCGCACAACATCATCATGAGAAATCACTTGGTCGCGAAAGCACACCGACTAAACCAACTCGACTCACCGATTGGAACGTTTACATTCAAAACCGTCGTTGGCACGTGCGCCTCGATGTGTGTCAATCATCCCCCCCCCCCAACCCCTACGACCCGGGTTCGATTCCCGCTCACGGTCAACACCAGTATCCGAATCGGTCCCGGGCCTCCCCTGGGTCGACTCGTCCTCAAAGGAGTACCTGGTGTGGTGTGTAGTAAACATCACCACTGGGGAGACAAAGGCGGCCAGGCGTGGTGCTGGCCACCCACCCCCTCGTGCGCTGTACCGGCCTTTATAGGTGCTCGCTAGCAGCACTTGCGACCGACGGTCTATTAAGGCTACACGGTGGATATTTGTCTCTATTGTTGCCTACACGTGTTCCATGTGGGTGTGTACGCGTGTAGCCGACGTTTTTGCTGGACGTCTGCAGTCGGCAGATTAACGAGGCCTCACTCAGGCTGTGCCACGTGCACTATTAACTAGGCCTCACTCAGGCTGCGCCACGTGCACGATTAACTAGGCCTCACTCAGGCTGCGCCACGTGCACGATTAACTAGGCCTCACTCAGGCTGCGCCACGTGCACGATTAACTAGGCCTCACTCAGGCTGCGCCACGTGCACGATTATCTAGGCCCGACAGTAAGGCTCGAGCATGTGCACGACAATCAAATCAACATACCTAGACGATGACCAGACTACGAGATTCGATCAGCGCTGGGTCCCTCGGTGGCGGAGAGCCATAACGGTAAAAACCAAACACACCGGCATTGTACCTACACGAGCGTCTGACCCAAGCAAACGACGGGGGGGAAAAAAGGGGGCAACTAAATTACTGACCACGTTGTTGGTGACGGACGACCTGACGTGCGTGCTAAATAAAACATGAAAACCTAAACGCGACGGTCGGACGATTGCGGAAACGCAATCCCCACCTGCCGCAGATCCTCCAACCCCATCCCTAACCCACGTCCCCCCCCCCCCAGCCGACATTCCCACACGGACAAAGTCGACACCGCCACAACGTTCCGCATGTCTGGGGGGGGGGGGGTGGGGGGGTGGAAAACCCATCTCCGTCTGGATTTGTGTGCGTTTTTAAAATATATATTCCGTGTAGTCTTTGGGTCTTTCGGTAAAAGTCACGTGGAAAGGTTTCCTTCCTGATGACGATCGCTTGTGTTGTGATCGAAACGTCACCGAAACACCCAAAGAGTATGAATTCCTGCGGTCACGAAAGCTTCAAGTCGAGATATATTCCGCGTATATAGGGTGGCCCAAAAGTGAGGGTACGTAGGGTTATTTAATGTAACTTGACAAATGTTCAAAGTGGCCTTTCCAATAAAACTCGTGCGCTGTGCTCACCGTCCCCGTTAAAAATCAATTCAGGACTTGTCTTTAAAGATTAACATTCACCAGTGGCGTTTTAGTCTCGAATCGGCCACAATTTTCTAAATCTAAAAAAGGAAGAAAAAAATGGATGACAATTCATGGCAATAGATGAAACACGAAACTTAAGTTAACGAAAACAATTACAAATGCTTTAACGCCAGTGTTGAAATGAATATAATGACCCTGTGTGTCTTCACTTTCGGGCCACGTGGCCTGAGCAACTATTCCATCTTCTTTCCAAAGGAACGTTAAGAACCATCCAGCGAGAAGCAACCCGCGCCGTTTTTGCGGAACGGGGGTGGAGAGGTGGTGGTGGGGGGGGGGGGTGTCAGTGTCGTTGCGGTTGAGGGGGGGGGCGAGCTGACAACGCCTCCAAGGATATTCGGGCGACCCAATCTCCTCCTGGCGGGGGGGGGGGGGGGCGGGGGGGGGGGCTACTGATAGAGCAGCTTCCCGCGCTCAGACATTCGGCCCACGCTGCAGTGGCCGCTTGCGCACCTCGCCAGTTACTGTTTCTTCGGGCTTCCGGGAATCTCGACTCGTGCGAATTTTGCGTCGACTCCCAGGGTGTGTGTAGGGGTGTGTGTAGGGGTGGGGTGGGGGAGGTGCGGGGAGTTCATCCGTTTCGGAAGAGGGACCCCGGCAATCTTCATCAAGGAATGTCGCAGCCGTGGCAAACTGGTCGCCAAGGCGTTGACCCCAGGGCTGCCGTCCCCGACCGCGGTCCAGCTACCGCCGCTGTCCCGAGCGGCGTCTAACGACGGCCTCGCCGCCGGTAAATTCCAGCGGCTGCGTGCGTGTGTGTGTGTGTGTGTGCGCTGCGTTGGCTGGATCAAGTAGCCCGCATGCCCAGCCACCGCATGCCGAAACAGCTTTTTGTTCGGCCGGATCGAGGAGGCTAAACGGGCGCGGCACGGGCTAAAGAAGAGATGGAGTGACGTGGTACAGGAGGACGTGGAGCTGAGTGGACTTGCCGATGACTGGTACCAGCGGTGTCAAGATCGGCCTCTGTGGAGGAGGAGGCTCGTGAAGGACGCTACTGGGCAGTCGGAGGCAGTCGCCCTCCAACAACAACGGAGGGCGGACGAGCGACGCTCACAACAACGAGCGGAGCGCCGGGTGGCTAAAGCACAGCAGGTTGGCACAGTAGGGGGCACAGGTGGTGCATCGGCCAGTGATCTCAGTCAGTCGACCCGTGGCACCTGGGTCTGCCCCGTGACCTCCTGCCAGCGGGCGTTCGACACTTCACGTGGCCTCAAGGTGCACATAGCCTGGCACAAGCGTCATGGTGACGTCACCGCCACTTAGCGGCGAATGGCGGTTGTTGTTGTTGTTGTGTGCGCGCGGTCGCCCCCGTGCGGCGTGACGGTGTGTCGTAAGCCCTCCTTCCACTCGACTTGCTAAAATAAATAGGGGGCGAGGTTGGCAGTGGTGGGTTGGGTCAGCGGGTGGTAGGAGTGGGTTAGCGAGGGTAGGGATTGGGCAGCATCTGCGCGGTACCGCGCAAGGACACGCGACACGCAGCCACCACGCTCGTGAATCTCAAACTCCAAACGATGTCTGGCACAGCCCATCCCCCAACCCCTAACCCTGCACCGGGCACGGACGGATCGCAGATTTTCAACACTCTGTCATGCATTCCGCCGAGCGTTCAACGTGCCCCCTCCCTCCCTCCCCTCCCCTCCCCGTAGTTTGTTTATACAACATTCTCCCCAACCCACATTAATAGACGGCACCCGACATCACTGGATGGCATATGGACGTCCCAGGGCAGCTAAGACAATGACGAAAAAAAACTTGGGACCGGTCAGTGGTGACCTTAGCGGCCTCTAACAGCCGGCCCTGGCAGCCCTTGGTGGCCCTGCAGGAAGGAGGAAGAGACGCCTGGCTGGATGACTCGATGTCCCAGGACGGTTACACCACCTCCTCCTCCTCATCCTCATCATCCTCATCATCCTCATCATCCTCATCATCCTCATCATCCTCATCATCCTCATCATCCTCATCATCCTCATCATCCTCATCATCCTCATCATCCTCATCATCCTCATCATCCTCATCATCCTCATCATCCTCATCATCCTCATCAACGACAACGACCCTGCGCAAAACTTGGTGCCAGTTGGCGACGGCCCTGGTGGCTGGCCCTGGTGGCTGGCCCTAGCGGCCCTGTGGAAAGGAGGAGGAGGAGGAGGAGGAAGAGGAGGAGGAGGAGGAGGAGGAAGGGAACGGGACAGCCGGCAGCATCGCAGCGGCGGGCGACGCGGGCACTAGGAAGAGGTCGAAGACGCTCTTGTTGGGTGGCACGACGCCGTAGACGCGCTCGTAGTCCAGGAACGTGGGCACCTGGTAGAGGAGACCAGCGTCGCGCGACCTCACCCAGTACGACACCAGCTGCAGCGGCGGGGACGGCGGATGCAACGACGACGGCGACGGCGACGGCGACGGCGCGGAGGTGGAGGGGGAACAGGACAATGACGGTGGCGATCGGTACGCGGGGATTGTGCCGGGGCTGCCGCCGGGGCCGCTAAGGAAAGCCAGCGAGTCCGGACCGGCGGGTGGCGCCACCGCGTTTGGGGGCGTGAACTTGGAGTGCGAGGTCGGCAGCTCCCATGAGACCAGCGCCTGCGGGGCCGGGTTGCCGTACGCGGCGGCGGCGGCCACGTTGCCATGGGCGTGACCGTGGGCGTAACCGTGGGCGGCGGCCACGTTGCCATGGGCGTGACCGTGGGCGGCGGCCACGTTGCCATGGGCGTAACCGTGGGCGGCGGCCACGTTGCCATGGGCGTGACCGTGGGCGTAACCGTGGGCGGCGGCCACGTTGCCATGGGCGTAACCATGGGCGGCGGCCACGTTGCCATGGGCGTAACCGTGGGCGGCGGCCACGTTGCCATGGGCGTAACCGTGGGCGGCGACCACGTTTCCGTAACCGTGGGCGGCGACCACGTTGCCGTAACCGTGGGCGGCGGCCACGTTGCCGTAACCGTGGGCGGCGGCCGCGTTGCCGTAACCGTGGGCGGCGGCCGCGTTGCAATTGTTACCGTGGGCGGCGGCCACGTTGGCGTTGCCAGGCTGGCACTGCCACGGCTGCGCCACCCATGCCGCGTGCCACGCGCGGCGCCCCTCGGCGTCGGCGGCGGTGTCAGCCGACGACGCCGACGAGGAGGAGGAGGAGGATGAGGAGGATGAGGATGATGATGCGGACGAGGAGGAGGAGGGAATTGCCAGGCCGAGCGGCCGCTGGCGATCGCCCCCCGTGTCCCGGCGCTCGTGGCGGCGCCGGCGCTGGCACTGCCGTTCGCCCGCCTGGTGCCGGTGCCGACGCCGGCGCTGCCCCGCGGGAGACGAGAGGGCCATGCAGACGTCCACGGGGCCCGGCGGCTGCGGCAGCGGCGGCGGCCGTCCAGGGGCGGGCGACGGCGAGCGGGAGAACGGCGACGAGGCGATGGAGGAGGAGGAGGCGGAGGAGGCGGAGGAGGCGGCGGAGGCGGACGACGACGGGCGAGAGACGGCGGGCGACGAATCCGATTCGTCCGCTCGCAGCGGGCGATGCACGGAGGAGGAGGAGGAGGCGGTGGTGGTGGAGGACACCGACGGCAGCTGCTGGTGCAGGTTGGTGGAGCCGGCGGCCGTCGGCGCCTGAGCGCAGGTGGACGGGGCGGGGGCGGGGGCGGGGTTGGGGGACGGGGCGGGCAGCGACGGACGGCCCGGCAGGACCGCCGCGTTGCCCCACGCGACGTCGCCCGGCGGCACTCGGGGCGGGTACGAGGGAACCCCCGCCAACGGTGACAGGAAGTGCCCGGCCACCGAGAGGAACGGCGCGGACGAGGAGGAGGCAGCCGAGACGCCGGAGACGACGCCGGAGAACGGCGGCGGCGGCGGCGACGGGCGGAACCGCTCGAGAGCGGAGGCCAGGGCCGGGCCCGGCGCGGCCGGCGGGCGGCACGGCGGCACCGGAGCGTCGGCGTTCGCCCAGCCGAGCTGCGGCGGCGGCCGGGACACGTCGGCCATCGGCGCGGAAGCGGCGGGAGGAGGAGCGGCCGCGGCATTGTGGGCCGAAGCCTCGTCCTGGCCCGGCGAGCACGGCCAGAGGCGGAGGCCCGGGTCCAGGAGGTAGGGCCGCAGGTCCTGCGGGTACGGCGAGCGGGCCTTGCGCGACTCGGCCGTGTTCTGCCGCAGGAGGGCCTCGGGCGGCACCTTGTCGATGTCCAGCGTCCAGTGGTTGCCCTTGCAGCCCGGGCGCGAAGGGTCCTTAAGCACCTGGGACCGGGGGGGGGGGGTGGAAGGGGGGGTGGAGGGGGGGTGGAGGGGGTTTGGGTGAGCGGGCGGGCGGACGGGCGGAACGTCGTGGGCGGGAGGGGTGGACGGAGCGGCCTGCTGGTGTCTACAGCGATGTGGAGTGGCCACGGTGGCGGGGATTATTCGGATGCTGCTGGGCGGTCTGCCGGGGTTGGAGTGGCATTGCCTCTGCCAGGGGGATCGTCTTCGGTAATGCCTCCGTTTGCGAGTGCTCGCTCGCACGCACGCACACACGCATGCACACACACGCATGCACACGCACGCACACACACGCGCACACACACGCACGTACGCGTGTACATGCCTACATGCGCCTTTGTCTCCCTAGTGGCAATGTTTACACATCGCACCAGGTAACTCATTTGAGGCCGAGTCGACCTAGGGAAGGCCCAGGAGCGGTTCAGACAATCGCCACCGGTGGCGTTGGCCGCGAGCGGGAATCGAACCCGGGTCGCCGGGTTCGTAGCGCAGCGTAGCGCTAACCGCCACACCACCGCTCCCCACCGCACGCACACACACGCACGCACACACACACACGCACACGCACACACACGCACACACGCGCACACACGCGCACACACGCACACACACACGCACACACACGCACACACGCACACACACGCACACACACACGCACACACACGCACACACACACGCACACACACACGCACACACACGCGCACGCACACACGCGCACACGCACGCACACACGCACACACACACACACGCGTACTGCGGTGGGGAGCCGTGGCTCAGCGGTTAGCGCCGCGCCAAGTTTTCGATTCTCGCCCCACGGCCCAGGACCGGTGACGGCCGTCCGACACCGGTCCTGGGCCTCGCCCTCGGCCTCAACCGGAGCACCTGGTGCGGCGTGTGGCAAACGTCGCCACTGGGGGGGGGGGGGGGAGACAAAGGCGGCCGGGCGCGGTGTTGGCCATCCGCCGCCTCTCTCGTGTTGCCCCCATTGGGGTCCTGCTCGCTCACGGCACTTGCGCCCTGGAGCCTGCTAGAGGCCACACGGGGGCTCTTTGTTGGCGGTGGCCGGTGGTGTCACCTTGGAGAAGCACTTGTTCGCAGAGAGGTTGTGGCGCACGGAGTCCCTCCAGCCCTTGTACTCGCCCGTGAAGAACGGGAACATGGAGCTGATGAGGCTGAAGATCTGAAGCACGGGGAACACCGCCGTCGTCACCGTCATCGTCGTCGTCGTCAACGTTGCAACAAAGTTGAGTGAGTGGGCAATTGCGGATTGCATGGGAGATTGAGTGGGCAATTGAGTGAGGTGGACAATTGAGTGAGTGGGCAATTGGGGATTGTATGGGAGATTGAGTGGGCAATTGAGTGAGGTGGACAATTGAGTGAGTGGGCAATTGGGGATTGCATGGGAGATTGAGTGGGCAATTGAGTGAGTGGGCGATTGAGTGAGTGAGTGGTTGTGTCAGTGGGTGGTTGAGTGAATAATTGAGTGGGCAATTGAGTGAGTGGGCAATTGAGTGAGTGAGCAATTGAGTGGGGGATTGCATGGGCGATTGAGTGGGCAATTGAGTGAGTGGGCGATTGAGTGAGTGGGCAATTGAGTGGGGGATTGCATGGGCGATTGAGTGGGCAATTGAGTGAGTGGGCGATTGAGTGAGTGGGCAATTGAGTGCGGGATTGCAAGGGCGATTGAGTGAGCAATTGAGTGAGTGGGCAATTGAGTGAGTGGGCAATTGAGTGAGTGGTTGTGTCAGTGGGTGGTTGAGTGAATAATTGAGTGGGCAATTGAGTGAGTGAGCAATTGAATGGGGGATTGCATGGGTGATTGAGTGGGCAATTGAGTGAGTGGGCGATTGAGTGAGTGGGCAATTGAGTGGGGGATTTCATGGGCGATTGAGTGGGCAATTGAGTGGGTGAGCAATTGAGTGAGCGATTGAGTGGGGGATTGCATGGGCGATTGAGTGGGCAATTGAGTGAGTGAGTGGTTGTGTCAGTGGGTGGTTGAGTGAATGATTGAGTGGGCAATTGAGTGAGTGGGCAATTGAGTGAGTGGACAATTGAGTGGGGGATTGCATGGGCAATTGAGTGAGCAAGTGATTAAGTGGGCGATTGAGTGAGTGAGTGGTTGTGTCAGTGGGTGGTTGAGTGAGTGATTGAGTGTGTGAGCAATTGAGTGAGTAAATGAGTGGGCGAGCGATTTAGGGGCTGAGCGATTGACTGGGTGAGCGATTGAGTGGGTGATGGAGTGGGTGAGCGATTGAGTGGGTGGGCGATTGAGTGAGTGAGCGATTGGGCGAGTGGTAAAATCTTGACTTTAGGCTATCGTGGCTGCAGGAATTCTAATTCTTTCGGTCGTTCGGTAAAGTCAAGTAGATAGGTTCAAAGAAAATAACAAAAAACTACGACGTTTCGATCGCAACACTAATTGAGCGAGTGAGCGATTGAGTGGGGAATTGCATGGGTGATTGAGTGGGCAATTGAGTGAGCAAGTGATTGAGTGGGCAATTGAGTGAGTGGGCAATTGAGTGAGTGGGCAATTGAGCGGGGGATTGCATGGGCGATTGAGTGAGCAAGTGATTGAGTGAGTGAGTGGTTGTGTCAGTGGGTGGCCGAGTGAATGATTGAGTGGGGGATTGCATGGGCGATTGAATGAGCAAGTGATTGAGTGGGCAATTGAGTGAGTGGGCGATTGAGTGGGTGAGCGATTGAGTGGGGGGATTGCATGGGCGATTGAGTGAGCAAGTGATTGAGTGGGCAATTGAGTGAGTGAGTGAGTGGTTGTGTCAGTGGGTGCTTGAGTGAGTGAGTAAGTGATTGAGTGAGTAAGCAATTGAGTGGGCGAGCGATTGGTGCGAGCGAGTGGTGCAAGAGTGAGCGAGCGATTGAATGATTAAGCGACTGATCAATTGGCGAGAGAGCGAGTTAGCAATTGAGCGAGCGAGCGGTGCGTGCGAGCGGCCCTACCTGTCGGAGCGTAAGCTGCAGCTCCGCGGAGCGCGTGATCGCCAGGCAGATGAGCGCCACGTACGAGTACGGAGGCTTGGGGTAGCGCTGGTAGTTCCTCTTGCTTCTCTCCGTCTTGCCAGATTCCTGTCCTCCATCACCACCGCCGCCGCCACCACCGGTGCAATCACCGTGCTCCATATCTTCCTCCTAAACGGCATGAGGGGGGTGAGGTGGTGGGGATAGGTCGCACGAACAATCACGATGGTGTGCTACTGCCGGTGATCGTGTGGTTGGTCTCCTTTACTCTCTCTCACGGGGGGGGGGGGGGGGGGGGGGAGGTGCTCATGATGGTCGTGAGTCCCTGAGTTCGAGCCCTGGGTCTGGGCGTCTCTCTTTAACTTTTAGGAGACCCAAAGACTGATCACACAGAGACCCATAGACTCGCCACACAGAGACCCATAGACTCACCACACAGAGACCCATAGACTCGCCACACAGAGACCCACAGACTCGCCACACAGAGACCCATAGACTCGCCACACAGAGACCCATAGACTCGCCACACAGAGACCCATAGACTCGCCACACAGAGACCCATAGACTCGCCACACAGAGACCCATAGACTCGCCACACAGAGACCCATAGACTCGCCACACAGAGACCCACAGACTCGCCACACAGAGACCCACAGACTCGCCACACAGAGACCCACAGACTCGCCACACAGAGACCCATAGACTCATCACACAGAGACCCATAGACTCGCCACACAGAGACCCACAGACTCGCCACACAGAGACCCACAGACTCACCACACAGAGACCCACAGACTCACCACACAGAGACCCATAGACTCACCACATAGAGACCCATAGACTCACCACACAGAGAGACCCATAGACTCACCACACAGAGACCCATAGACTCAACACACAGAGAGACCCATAGACTCAACACACAGAGAGACCCATAGACTCAACACACAGAGAGACCGATAGACTCACTACACAGAGACCCATAGACTCACCACACAGAGACCCATAGACTCGCCACACAGAGACCCACAGACTCGCCACACAGAGACCCACAGACTCGCCACACAGAGACCCACAGACTCGCCACACAGAGACCCACAGACTCACCACACAGAGACCCACAGACTCACGACACAGAGACCCATAGACTCACCACATAGAGACCCATAGACTCACCACACAGAGAGACCCATAGACTCACCACACAGAGAGACCCATAGACTCACCACACAGAGACCCATAGACTCAACACACAGAGAGACCCATAGATTCACCACACAGAGAGACCCATAGACTCACCACACAGAAACCCATAGACTCGCCACACAGAGACCCATAGACTCGCCACACAGAGACCCATAGACTCACAACGCAGAGACCCATAGACTCACCACACAGAGACCCATAGACTCACCACACAGAGACCCATAGACTCACCACACAGAGACCCATAGACTCACCACACAGAGACCCATAGACTCACCACACAGAGACCCATAGACTCAACACACAGAGAGACCCATAGACTCACCACACAGAGAGACCCATAGACTCACCACACAGAGACCAATATACTCACCACACAGAGACCCATAGACTCACCACACAGAGACCCATAGACTCAACACACAGAGAGACCCGTAGACTCAACACACAGAGAGACCCATAGACTCACCACACAGAGACCCATAGACTCACCACACAGAGACCCACAGACTCACCACACAGAGACCCATAGACTCACCACACAGAGACCCATAGACTCACCACACAGAGACCCATAGACTCACACACAGAGAGACCCATAGACTTCACCAACCCACGTCTCATCAGTGGTGTGTGCGCATCAGTGGATCGGCTGTGGGTGGATCACCTGTGGGTGAATCACCTGTGGGTGGGTCATCTGTGGGTGGATCACCTGTGGGTGGAGCGCGGCAGGCAGCGCCGCGTTGTCCTCTTCCATCTCCACCTCGTGGTTCGGCGAGTCCATCGCTCCTCGGGCGAGTGGGTGGGTGGACTCTCCGGCTGGTTGGTTGAGCAGCTGGTTGGGCGGTGGACTAACCAGGAAGCTCGTTGGCGGACCAGCGCCTGTATTACCGGACATGTGACTGGACTAGTGGGCCGGTTGCTGGACCAGTGGACCAGTGGCTGGACCAGTGGACTAGTGGCTGGACCAGTGGACTAGTGGCTGGACTAGTGGCTAGACCATGGCTGGACTAGTGGACCAATGGCTGGACTAGTGGACCAGTGGCTGGACCAGTGGACCAGTGGCTGGACTAGTGGCTGGACCAATGGCTGGACTAGTGGACCAGTGGCTGGACCAGTGGACCAGTGGATGGACCAGTGGCTGGACCAGTGGACCAGTGGCTGGACTAGTGGATGGCCTAGTGGATGGACTAGTGGACCAGTGGCTAGACTAGTGGACTAGTGACTGGACTAGTGGCCCAGTAGCTAGACTAGTGGACCAGTGGCTAGACCAGTGGCTGGACTAGTGCCTGGACTAGTGGTCCAGTGGCTGGACTACTGGTGAAGCTGTTGGTCTCGGCTGCTGGTTGGTGAAATACCAGGCCTGTCAGTGGCTCTGATTGGTGGACCGTGCGGCTCTTGGGGCTACCGAGTAGATGGACTGCAGGTGGACTGTGGTTGGACTGCGGGCGGACTGCGAGTGGACCATAGGTGGACCGTGGGTGGACCATGGATGGACTATAGGTGGACTATTGGTAGACTATGGGTGGACTATGGGTGACTGTCCATCGAGTCCACCTTGAGCAGAGCTAGAGTCGCCCCACAATGTTGCCCACAACCTGCGGATGTGGAGCACGGGAGGAGGGCGATGGTCAGTCCGGGTGGACACGGGAGTGTGCAGGGGAGCCATAGACTTGCACAGACACCCGTAGACTTGCATTGAGACCCATAGACATGCATAGAGACCCATAGGCAAGCATAGACACCCATAGAATCACACAGAAAGGCACATAGACTCACAGAGACCGATAGACTCTCAGAGATCCATAGACTCGCACAGAGAGACCCATAGACTCACGCAGAGACCCATAGACTCACACAGAGATCCATAGACTCACACAGCAGAGACCCATAGACTCACACAAAGACCCATAGACTCATCACAGAGACCCTCAGACTCATCACAGAGACCCATAGATTCACACAGAGATCCATTGACTCACACATAGACCCAAAGACTCACAGAGACTCAGAAACTCGCATAGAGACCCAGAGACTCGCAAAGCGACCCATAGACTCGCATAGAGACCCATAGACTGGCATAGAGACCCAGACAAGCATTGAGCCAGACTCACATAGAGACCCATAGACTCACGTAGAGACCCGTAGACTCGCATAGAGACCCATAGACTCGCATAGAGACCCATAGACTCACATAGAGACCCGTAGACTCGCATAGAGACCCGTAGACTCGCATAGAGACCCGTAGACTCGCATAGAGACCCGTAGACTCGCATAGAGACCCGTAGACTCGCATAGAGACCCATAGACTCACATAGAGACCCATAGACTCACACAGAGACCCATAGACTCACACAGAGACCCACAGACTCACATAGAGACCCATAGACTCACATAGAGACCCATAGACAAACACAGACATCCAGACTCACATAGAGACCCATAGACTCACACAGAAACCCACAGACTAGCACAGAGACCCATAGACTCGCATAGAGACCTATAGACTCACACAGAGACCCACAGACTCACACAGAGACCCACAGACTCACACAGAGACCCATAGACTCACACAGAAACCCACACTCATCACAGACATACGTAGACTCATCACACACAGGACCCACCACGTGTTCATCTGTCTCTCTCAGCGTAATCGCCATCACCGACGTGGTCTATCTACCGATGGATGGAGATCATTGTGGCAGTGTTGGTGATTCTAGATTTAAATCTTTCGTGACTGCAAGGACCCATACTCTTTGGTGCTATTCGGTAAAGTCACGTAGGTAAAGAAATAAAACAACAAAAATCACGACGTTTCGGCCACAACACAAGCGGCCTTCATCAGGTGAAGGGATCAGGCTGTCTCGAGGACAGCGCTAAAGGTCGCGGTCTGAGCGTGGGTGTGTTTCACTCCAGCGCATAGACTCACACAGCAGAGATCGACAGACTCATCAAAGAGACCCATAGACTCACGCAGAGACCCATAGACTCACGCAGAGACCCACAGACTCGCACAGCAGAGACCCATAGACTCACACAGCAGAGACCCACAGACTCACACAGCAGAGAGCCACAGACTCACACAGCAGACACCCATAGACTCACACAGCAGAGACCCATAGACTCACACAGCAGAGACCCATAGACTCACACAGCAGAGACCCATAGACTCACACAGCAGAGACCCATAGACTCACACAGCAGAGACCCATAGACTCACACAGCAGAGACCCATAGACTCACACAGCAGAGACCCATAGACTCACACAGCAGAGACCCATAGACTCACAAAGCAGAGACCCATAGACTCACAAAGCAGAGACCCATAGACTCACACAGAGACCCATAGACTCACACAGCAGAGACCCACAGACTCACAGAGACCCATAGACTCACACAGCAGAGATCCGTAGACTCACACAGCAGAGACCCATAGACTCACACAGCAGAGACCCATAGACTCACAAAGCAGAGACCCATAGACTCACACAGAGACCCATAGACTCACACAGCAGAGACCCACAGACTCACAGAGACCCATAGACTCACACAGCAGAGACCCATAGACTCACACAGCAGAGACCCATAGACTCACACAGCAGAGACCCATAGACTCACACAGCAGAGACCCATAGACTCACTACACAGCAGAGACCCATAGACTCACACAGCAGAGACCCATAGACTCACACAGCAGAGACCTGTAGACTCACACAGCAGAGACCCATAAAAAAAAACATCACGGAGCTAACCGTGCCGCTGTTTCTGTTGCTGCTGCTGCTGCTTCTTGCTACTCACAGCACTTGCCCCATGCAGTACTCCGAGGCTACGCGGGGGACCTCAAACGCTGGGGGGTGTCGTGGTCGTAAGCATCGGCAGTTTTGGGGGGGGGGGGGGAGGGACAAAGGCGACCCCGTGCGTGGTGCTGGCCACAGCAAACGGTCATTTGTTTTTCGATTTAAAAAGCTTTCGTGACTTGCAGGGATTCATCTTCGTGGTTGTTTCGGTAAAGTCACCACCACGTAGAATGGAAATAATAAAATAAATAATAATAAAAAAACCGCGCGCACAGTAAAATAAAAAATTAAATAAAAATAAAATGTTGTTATGTTTTATATTTTTATTATTATTTTATTATTTCATCTTCTACGTGACTTTACCGAAAGAACCAAGAGGAACAGTCGTTTGTATTTTTTTGGGGTCTTTCGGTAAAGTAACGTAGATAATTTTAAATTAAAAAAATAATAATAATAAAAGCACTAAGCCCACGCCTGATGAAGACCACTTGCGTCGCGATCGAAACGTCGTGAGGTTTTTTGGCTTTTATTATTTTTAATTTATTATTTTTATTTTACATTTCTATTTTATTCTTAAATTTTTCTATCTGCGTGACTTTACCGAAAGACCCAAAGATTTTGGATCCGAAAAGCTTCAAGTCGACATTTTTAAAACCCGTGATTTACTTACTCATTGACGCTTTCGGTAAAGGTCACATAGATGGAAATTTAAAATTAAAAATTGAAATAAAGTTAAACATTTAAAGTAATAATATGAATATTTATTTTATCGACGTCTAAGATTTTGAATCCCTGCAGTGACGAAAAGCTTCAAGTCGAGATTTAACCCGTGACCTACTCGTTTTATTTATGTTATTTTACAAGTTGTAATGCACCCCGCGCGAATCTGCCGTGTGGCGCTTTTTCAGAAGCCACCATCGCAAATCAAAGCTCGAATTTTGACTTGGAACTTTCGCGACTGCGGGAACTCATAATCCTTGGTTCTTTCGGTAAAGTCACGTAGGTAGAAAATAAAAACATAATACAATTTAAATTTTAAATAAAAAAAATAAATTTAAAATAATCAAAGCAAAGAAAAAAAACACGAAGACCGCTCCTGCTGCGATCAAAACGTCGTTGGCGTTATTTTTGCTTTTATTATTTTCAATTTATTTAAAAAATTTATTTTATTTTACTACTTTTTTTCGAATTCTGTTTTTTTTGGTTTTTATTATTTTCAATAAATTTTAATTTTACTATTTTTAAAATTCAGTTTTTTTTGCATTGATTAATTTCACAAATTGTATTATTTTTATCTCGGTGGCTTCACCGAAAGACCCGAAAATATGAAATCATAGCCGCTCAACCAAGTTGCTGAAAATGTCTAGCAGCAGCCAAATTCCGCATGGAGACCCGTACACAGAGACACACGGAGATCCATAGAGACCCACTCATAGAGAGCAACATTCATAGAGACCCATATTAAAACTAACATCATCACCACCATCTCATCATCACCGCCACAACCATCTCATCACCACCATCTCATCGTTATTATCATCACCATCATCACTACCACAACCATCTTATCATCACCACAACCATCTCATCACCATCATCTCATCGTTATTATCATCACCATCATCTCATCATCTCATCATCACCACAACCATCTCATCATCATCATCACCACCACCATCACATCACCATCATCTCATCGTTATTATCATCACCATCATCACCACCACCACAACCATCATCATCACCACCATCACATCGTCACCACCATCACCACCGTAATCTCTCTCACCTTCCACAGCGATGGCGTCTCTGTGTTCGCCTGGCGAGTCTTCACGACGCCCTGGTTGTTGTCCATCAGGGCACAGCAAGCGGTGGTTGAAACGGTGGACGGATGGTGGTGGTGGTCGTGGTGGTCGTGGTGGTGGTGGTGGTGGCGGTGGTGGTGGTCGTGGTGGTGGTGGTGGTGGTCGTGGTGGTGGCGGTGGTGGCGGGGGTGGTGGTGATGGTCGAGGTGCAGGCGACAGAGACGGTGGAGCAGATGATGATGATGGGTGATGGGTGATGAGTGATGATGGGTGATGATTATGGCTGATGATGATGGCTGATGTCTTCCCCGTAACGTACGGAGGCCGAGCTTCTTGCGCGCACCCGAACGCAGCCGTGCCAAGTCGAAAGCACCACGAGGAGGGATCAAAAACGACGACTCGAGACCGATGATGATGGTGACGATGATGATGGTGGTGGTGATAATGATCAGCTGGCGACGACGATGATGAGACGGAGGTGATGATGATGACGATGATGGAAGGATTAAGCAAGGAGGGAGGGTGACTACGGGTGATGATGATGGCTGGCTGTCTGTATGTCCTCCGGTACGACGAAATGGACTCAGAAGTTGTTTTGAGTTGATGGGGGTAGGGGTGGTGGTGGTGGTGGTGGCGGCGGCGTTAGCTCTTGTCTTGTCCGCGGGGGGTGATGGCTTTAAGGGGTTAGCAAGGTTGGTGGGGGAGGGGTTCTGTTGGTGCTGGTGGTGGTGGTGGGTAAACAATTAATGAATTAATCAATCAATCAGAGCCGCCGATCTGATTGAATCGACCCCCACCGTTGTTGCTGTTGGGGGTTTTAAATCCCATTGTTAATGTGGGGGCGAGGGAGGAGCGGTGGCGCTGGTGGTGAGCGCGTCGGCGCTGCGGGACGTGGGGACGGCCGACCAAGTCCAACCTCAGTTTTTCCAGTTTCGTTTATTGGATGTAGCCCTCTTGAATCGTGTGCAGCAGCAAAACAAAACCACGAACAAGGGGAAAAAAAAGACATCTTAAAGTGCCCACGCGCAAACAGAAAAATCCAGGGAAAGGGAGGGAAGGGGAGAGAGTTGAAAAAAAAAACCCAGCAAAAAATAACAACCACGAGACAATTTAAAGTTATCGGGCTATAACTCTGTAGTACCGCAACAGGCAAACCAGGCGTGGCCAAAACCAAAACGTTTTCAAAATCGACAAAATAAAGCTCTAAAAAACAATGTAACCTGGTTTTGCATGGGTCACCCCCCCTCCCCTAGGTCGACTCCGCCTTAAATGAGTTACGTTTGCCGCGGCGAGGAAGACAAAGGCGGCCGGGCTTGCGCGGTGTTCATTGACCACCACAACCACCACCACCACAACCACCACCACCACCCACCACAACCACCGCCTTGCGTGTGCCGCTGCTGCTGCTGCTGAACAGCACTTGCCCCGACAAGTCTGCTAGAGGCTACACGGGGTGCCTTTGTCTTTGTCTCTCACGTGGGGGGGGGGGAGCGGTGGTGCCACCCTACGAACCTTTGCCACCCGAGTTCGAGTCCCGCTCGCGGCCACCGTCGCACCGGCGGTGACGATGAAGCTTTCAGCCGGTTCCCGGGGGGCTTCACCCCTAGGTCGACTCGGCCTCAAGTTCGTTACCTGGCACGGCGTGTGGCGGGCACGACGTCGCCACTAGGGGAGACAAAGGCGGCCGGGCGCGGGTGCCGCAGCGCCGGTAACCTTCATCGGTGCCGCCGCTGCTGCTGCTGTTGCTGTTGCTCGCCACTAACAACACTTGCCCCGACAGCCTGTTAAGGCTACCTTGTGGGGGGTGGGGTCTTTGTCTCTGTGTGTCTTTGTTCAACTTTAAGTGGGTGTCGGTGCTGAGCCGGTATCGATTAGCGGCCTTGCCGCATGCATGCATGCATACATACGTATGGACGCGTCTATATATAGACCACAGAGCCGTTACAGACGTTTCGGTCCACGGTTCAAAGGCGACTTTGAAATGCGCAAACGGCAAAACTTCGGAGGGGGCGATCTCGCTCCCAACAAGTCGTGCATTAAATTTTGATTTAAAGCTTTCGTGACTGCAGTAATTCATATTCTTAGTTTTTTCGGTAAAGTCACCACGTTGAAGAGAAACAACAAAATAATAAAAAATATATTTTTATTGTTTTATATATATTTTATTATTTTGTTGTTTCTCTTCAACGTGACTTTACCGAAAAAACTAAGAATATGAATTACTGCAGTCACGAAAGCTTTAAATCAAAATTTAATCGCCTCTACGGGGAGGGTTTTCACATAACTTTAAGATCCTTCAACAAACTCCGGGATAAGAAAGCTCAGCTGATCGAGTCTCTCACCTTCCTGAAGAGATGCCGCGACTCTGGGGTAATGCCAATCGCATTTACACTGACCTCTGCTGCTGTAACTTCTTCTAATGCGAAACGAATTCTTTTCAAAACTAGCTTAGCTCTTATCTCAGAAAGTCGTGCATTGCTTCGAGACGTCTCAATGCGCGCGCGTTCATTTCGACGCCTACAAATATACAGATCCATAGACCCCTTCTGTTTTTTTTGACGTTTTAAACAACTTTTTTTTTCATTGCCGCCAGCGGCAACACCGCTGGAGGCGACTCCGATATGGAATAACACAAAGTCGCCGGCGAACACAAATTTAAAATTAACGCTCCAAATCCACGCGCTGCGGCGCTAAAAAAAAAGCACCGCGCACAACACTCCAACGGTGTCCTCATGACAGCACGGTCCCTTCACCTGATGAAGGCCACTTGTGTTGTGGCCGAAACGTCGTGATTTTTGTTATTTTATTTTTTAACCTACGTGACTTAAACCGAATAGAACCGAAGAGTATGGATCCTAGCAGTCACGAAAGCTTTAAATCTAGAAACTAAAGAAAAGTCACGTGGTGGTGGTGGTGGTTGTGGTGGTTGTGGTTGTTGTCATTCGCGCACGCCACGTTGACGAGCGAGCGCTTCAGATGGTGAACATGAGGGTGCCGTCCACGCTGGTACAGAGAGAGAGAGAGGGGGCCTTGTCCGGCTCCCCCAGCGTTCGAGGAAGACGCGCTGCACATCACCGGCACGTGCGCGCGCGCGTGTGTGTGTGTGTCACGTGGCGTGACACACACACACACACGTGCACGTGCGCGCGTGTGTGTGTGTGTGTGTGTCACGTGGCGTGCTCCAGCCACAGCCGCGCCTTAAGCAGGCCCCTGAACGCTGAAAGCAGGACGGGGCAGCCGTCAGTGTCGCCTCGCAGCGTCTTTAGTTTAATAATATTTTAATTAAATAATACAAATATGTTTCTTATTTTATTGTTTCCCTTCGACGTGAGTCTTAGTTCTTCCGGTAAAGTCACGTAGTAGAAGGGAAACAATAAAATAATAAATAAAATATTAAATAAATACGAATATATTTTTTGTTTTTTATAATATTTTAATAAAATAATAAAAAATATATTTTTATTATTTTATTGTTTCCCTTCTACGTGACTTTATTGTTTCCCTTCGACGTGAGTCTTAGTTCTTCCGGTAAAGTCACGTAGAAGGAAAACAATAACAATTTTTTTTATTATTTTAAATAAAAATAAAATTTTTTTATTATTTTAATAAAATTATAAAAATATATTTTAATAATTTCATTGTTTCCCTTCTACGTGACTTTATTGTTTCCCTTCTAAGTGATTCTTAGTTCTTCCGGTAAAGTCACGTAGAAGGGAAACAATAAAATAATAAAAAAATGTTTTTATTATTTTAATAAAATAATAAAAATATATTTATAATTTTATTGTTTCCCTTCTACGTGATTCTTAGTTCTTCCGGTAAAGTCACGTAGAAGGGAAACAATAAAATAATAATAAAAAATTTTATTATTATTATTATTTAATTGAGAAACAATAAAATATATTTGTTATTATTTTATTGTTTCCCCTTCTACGTGGTGGTGACTTTACCGAAAGAACCAAGAATATGAATCCCTGCAGTAACGAAAGCTTTAAATCAAAAATTCGACGCCTCGCCCCTGAAACTGATTGCCCTCCGCCAGAGACGCTCGCCAGCCTTCTCCGTGGACCCGTCTCACCACTTTGTAGCTGCTCACCCCCGAGGCAAAAAAGCTCCTCTCATGCCCAGTCTCTTATGGCTAACATTGAGACGTCGGTACAGGTCTACGTTGCTTTACAGAACATTCATAGGCCCGGAGCGTTGTGTCGGTTTTTTTTCTTCCTTTTGAAGATCCGTGCGGGAATCGGCTGCCAAAGCTGCAGCAGCAGCAACAACAACAACATCAGAAAGCGACTAATCAAACACTGATATGCAAATGCGGTGCGGGCATATGGAGAGAGAGAGAGACACACACACACAGAGGTACAGGGCTGAAATCCAGGATCTCAGTGCCTCTGACACGGCCTTTGTGAAACCGCTTAGACAGAGACACCCAGACCCAGGGCTCGAACCCAGGCTCTCAGTGTCTCTGACACGGCCACTATGAACCCCCTGATAGAAAGTGAGAGACACCCAGACTCAGGGCTCGAACCCAGGCTCTCAGTGTCTCTGACACGGCCACTATGAACCCCCTGATAGACAGAGACACCCTCCACATTTAGACTCAACATCACCACGCGTTTAGAGTATTTCACTGCTGCTACACATTTGGGATGGCCACGCCGCTTCTCAAAAAGATCGACGCAGCAGCGAAGTGCGGCTTTAGCTGCTAAAATACAACGAGTTAGATTTTCGTTTAGTCTATGGGTCTCTACGTATCTCTATGTGTCTCTATGTGTCTCTATGGGTCTCTATGTGTCTCTATGTGTCTCTATGGGTCTCTACGTATCTCTATGGGTCTCAATGTGTCTCTATGGGTATCTGTGTATCTCTATGGGTCTCTATGGGTCTCTATGTGTCTCTATGTGTCTCTATGGGTCTCTATGGGTCTCTATGTGTCTCTATGGGTTTCTACGTGTCTCTATGGGTCTCTATGTGTCTCTATGGGTCTCTGTGTATCTCTATGGGTGTCTATGGGCCTCTGTGTATCTCTACGGGTCTCTATGTATCTCTATGGGTGTCTACGGGTCTCTGTGTATCTCTATGGGTGTCTGTGTATCTCTATGGGTGTCTATGGGTCTCTGTGTATCTCTGTGTATCTCTATAGGTCTCTGTGTATCTCTATGGGTGTCTGTGTATCTCTAAGGGTGTCTATGGGTCTCTGTGATCTCTGTGTATCTCTATGGGTCTCTGTGTATCTCTATGGGTGTCTATGGGCCTCTGTATATCTCTACGGGTCTCTGTGTATCCCTATGGGTGTCTACGGGTCTCTGTGTGTCTCTATGGGTGTCTGTGTATTTCTACGGGTCTCTATGTATCTCTACGGGTCTCTATGTATCTCTATGGGTGTCTACGGGTCTCTGTGTATCTCTATGGGTCTCTGTGTATCTCTATGGGTGTCTACGGGTCCCTGTGTATCTCTACGGGTCTCTGTGTATCTCTACGGGTGTCTATGGGTCTCTGTGTATCTCTTTGGGTGTCTACGGGTCTCTGTGTATCTCTACGGGTCTCTGTGTATCTCTATGGGTCTCTGTGTATCTCTATGGGTGTCTATGGGTCTCTGTGTATCTCTACGGGTGTCTGTGTATCTCTACGGGTCTCTATGTATCTCTATGGGTGTATACGGGTCTCTGTGTATCTCTATGGGTGTCTACGGGTCTCTGTGTATTTCTACGGGTGTCTGTGTATCTCTACGGGTCTCTATGTATCTCTATGGGTGTCTACGGGTCTCTGTGTATCTCTATGGGTCTCTGTGTATCTCTACGGGTCTCTGTGTATCTCTACGGGTCTCTATGTATCTCTATGGGTGTCTACGGGTCTCTGTGTATCTCTATGGGTGTCTACGGGTCTCTGTGTATCTCTGTGTTGTCCGCATGCAAACCGCGCGTCGTTTTAGCCGAGGCGCGCGCGCGCGTGCGGCAAATTTGCACATCAAAGCGGCGTCGGGCGGGTCGGGGTTTTTTCGTTGTTTTTGTTTTCCTTCTCTTCGGCTGCCGATTGATTAGAGGCGGTGCGTTCAGGCGCCGCGCCGAATCAAGTGGCGGCGGTAGGGTTGCGTGAGATGCTGCTGCTGCTGGGGGTGGTGGTGGTGGTGATGGTGATGATGATGCTGCTGCTAACTCAAGGTGTGGATGCTCGCATGCGTGTGGCATTGGAGCATCGTCCTGGTCGCCTTTTGGCGCTGTTCTTTGGTGAGACTCTGGGTGGTGAGACACTGGGTGGTGGTGAGACTCTGGTGGTGGTGAGACTCTGGTGGTGGTGAGACTCTGGTGGTGGTGAGACACTGGTGGTGGTGAGACACTGGTGGTGGTGAGACAC